TATCGGCCCATAGATAAAAGCAAATCCTCCCGTAATTTAAAATCAGAGGGAGATAATTTTTCCGAGTCCGAAGGATCAATTTTTACTCGGTGACCGTAAACAATGCGAAAATGATCTCGTTACATTAGCAACCCTTACCACGCTCCTATGCAACAGCCCGAGTCATCCAACGCTGCATTCTCGTTTCCCAACGGTGTATAACAGCTAATTACCGGTATTTTATTAAAACCCCACTGGACCAATACAAATGTGCTCATGACAGCAGAGTAGCATATATATATATATATATATATATATATATATATATACGTGCGGTATAAGCCTATGCTCTTCGTCCGATGAGGGGGAAGGGAGGAGGAGTTGCCGCCCTGCGCCATTCGTCTCGCCGTTCTCGTTCGGACGCCGATTTATGCCCGCCGTCGATCAGCATCAATTGCAGCAGAGCCACTGGGAATCGGGAAAAATACAACACGCCATCTCCTTACCCCCCACCCCCTTTTTAACTCCTCTGTATGGACAACTGAGTGATGAAGCGGGGAAACGTGAGACGCTAATACTATTCCGCACGGCTCGTGACTTCTTCTTTTCTTTCCACTTGGATCATTGAGCCGGAACGTCGCTGTGCGAAAACGAAGACGTAACAGAGGGTCTTTATTAGCGAACCAGCAAACAAATGGTCAATAACATCGAGAGTGTAAGGACAATTTTTTTTTTTTTTTTTTTTTTTTCCTCCTGAACACCCCTCGATTGCTCATTTAGCTCTGCTTTTGCCCCACTACCTCTCTCTCGAGCTCTCACTTGCTGCATCATCGTTTTTTACACGATCCAGGGATATTTATGTGCACAGCAAACCGAGTGCGAGCTCCTCACGCCCATTTCTCGAATTTTCCCTCCGATCTTTTGTCTTACCACGAAAGATGAGGGCAGTGTCCAAACGAAAGCACTGTGTGATCGAGTTCAATGGAGGGTAGTAAGTTGACACCCCCGTACAACGTCCTATTTATCTTTGGATATTGCGTGCTTGGGCGCAATCGAGCTTGGCCTTGCACTTTTCCTTTATAGACTTGTAACGAAGAAATAGAGTCGCAATAGTCGTTCAGTATACGGCGAAAAATAAAAAAAATTGTACCAAGAGGTGGGGATAAAGTATTTGAGAGGAAAAGATGATTTCGATTAGTTATTAGGTAAGGTAACAGAGGGGGGAGATGGATTTTTATAAATCCGTGTCATTAAAATACATATATGTACATAAATATGTGCCTCTTGAAACTGTTCGGAATTGTCAATTGGATGGTTTGCTTAAAAAATAACAAGGAAGAAAAAATAGTTTTCCGGCTATTTTTTGTCTTCAAACCAAGAGTATAGAAAAAGTCGATAAGTGAGGCGGGGAGGAGGGTACAAAGAGTTTAATTCAGCGGCGCTGCTGTACCCAGTCTTGAGTTTAAAACTCAAATAAAACAGCACAGCAGCTGTTATTTATTAAAGACTCGAGTTGCGGTCGAGCAGTCCACCTGAAACGTATATATATATATTTATACAATCGCGTTATATCTTTGCTAAACAAGTTTTAATTAAATTTCATGAATCTCGAGATTCCATGTTTGTGGAGTGGCGTCTTATTTATGTCTCGAGTAGCTTGAGATGCAATAGAAATCGAGAACCGAAATTGCACTGCATTTTGGTGTACCTCTTTTTTCTTTAGATGATTGAGGTTTACTCATTTTTTTTTCTCGAGTGCAAGCAATGCAAAAATGAAAACGGAATTTCTCATTAGGATGTACCGGCATGGCAACCCAGAATTTCGACATTTTCGACTCAAAGCTCCCAGGTTGAATCAGCGTTTCTCCAAAATTCCCTCTTAAATTCCACGGCAGGATTTTCCGCGAGCACTTTTTTTACGCTAAATACTCGACTGTATAACTATATACACCGTTCACGAGAATCCAGCCGAAATTCGATTTGCAACGTAGGTAAATGGTAATAAATAGTATGCATTGGGTAGCGATAAATTTGGTAGTAAAGTGTATGAGTGTGACCACTTAATAGCTCCGGGAGCTGAAATTATTTGCCGCGCAAAAAGGAAGCCCTCGAATCGCTTTAACCCGTTTATCGGTCGGTGGGGCACGCTAAGTGTACCATACATATGTGCACACGCGTGTGGTGGTGGTGCAGGTATGCGGCGTGGTATTTCCGGACCGAGGCGCTCGCGCGGACATTAATTTTGAAGTTCAAGCATTGCCGACGCCAAGTTATTCACCCGATAAATGCGGCTTGTGCGCGAGAACGCAGAGTGGGTGAGGATACGGGAGTTTTTTTAATCGCTTGATCGATGGATCGGTAAGTGATGATGTGTTTCTTTTTCATCCCAAAAAATAGTGCGCGTTCGAGTGAATAATCAAGGACCAAAAATTGAAGGCTAAAGTAATTATGTCGGGCTTTGCATTGTACGAGCGAGTTTATTACCTTTGAGAAAATTAAATCGAAATACAGCTTTAAATACGTTACGGCAAAATATGACAGTAACGTCTTGGAAATGTTTTTTATCCCTGGAGACGAGAGAGTTTTCACTTTTTATCAGTTGATGGAAATTTTTTTTCAAAGAAGTTGGCAAATAAATACTACCTTAAGCGCTTCATATTATTTGCTCCCTTTATTTGCTTTGAGTTGACTAAAGAAATTGCAAATGGGCTCAAAAAAGGACGAGCGTTTGTTGACAGATGAAAAAAAAAACGGAAATGGGATTTCCAAGTTGAAGTAGACGAGAGAAAGAAATGATGGATAGTTGCTTAAAAAGTAATTTAAAAGAAATACCGAGTTCGAGAGCCAAGATGGATTCAAACAAAAATTAAATCACCCCGTGGATTTCGCAAAACGAGTCCAATGTATCTCAGGGCGAATGTACCTATCTGGGTTAAGTACACAAATAGTACAGGCGTGCGAATTAAATCTGTGGAAATTCCTGACTGTTAACTCTTTTAGAATGTAAAATAAACCGGCGTCTAAAAAGATTCAGCTGGTATTGCATTAGCATAATTTTTAAGTATCACATTTATGTAAATGAAACGCGAGCTCTATGAACGGTAATTACGGATGAATTGCGGCTCTTATCTACATAAGAATTATTAAAGCAAATCATGAATAAGTGTGTGATCGAATGAATTTTAAAATGATCGGCTTTGCTTTTTAATGAACTTTAGTGGCAAAAAATTTAAATAAAGGTAGAATCAAAGAATAATGCCAAATTTATTAGCTATTGGCTTTTTCTGTATTTCTTTAAAAAAAAGACAACTTTAAACAAAGCAGTTTTTTAGCTAAAGACACAGTGATGCGTGATTATGATTCAAATGAAGCTCATAAAAAAATTTTATAAATTTGTAACTACAAGCTTTGCTTAAAGTTTTTCCTGTAGGTGGTGTTGAAATTTACAATAAATGTATTGGTTGATCTATGAATGGTTAAAAGTAAAAACGAACTTAAAATATGGTCAACAGTAATGATGCCAATATACGTAGATTAGTGACTTGACATGTATATTTGTTTATTATTAATACAACTCATGACGTATACAAAAATTGAACTATTTCAAGATACACTTTAATGAAGTAAATAAGTAAGTTATAAATATACCTTTTAATAAAAAATTTTTATTTAAAATGTAAAGTAAAGTTTATAAATTTTAATTTATATTTGCGAAAAAAAAGAAATAAAACGAAAAATAAATGTATAAAGGAGGTATTGAGGCACAAATATTCAGCACAAATGGTGCCAAGAAAAGAAACTGGTAATTAGACAAAGAAGTGGGTGGGGACCCCGAGGACATTGATAGAGAAAAAATAAAAATAATCTGAAAAGAAAGAAAAGGCAGTATTACGAGTGAGCCAGAAAATTAAAAGGGGAAAAACTTTGAGACGCGGAGAATGTGCAATCAGTTGTTACGAAAACAGAAAGACGACTGAATGGTAAACGAAATTACACGCAAATGAAAAAAACACGAGTGCAAGGAATTGATGATCGAAACCAGTAGCGTCTAATGAAAGCAAAAAAAAAAAAAAAAAGGTTTGAAGAATTGGTGATGGTTCTCGTGCGAACGAATATGCGTTCAACAGAGAGTGGTCGGTAAGGGTTTATAGATGCGGGAATACCGAAACTACCCTTTAATGGCACGCACTCTAAACCGGCTAAGCTCGTAATGCACTTCCAGGAGCAACGATCGAGTTTGTCAATACATTACTCTGTCCAATGTACAGTATAGGGTACACGCATAGCGAGGTACAGTTGGAGTGCAGGGTCATTAAGGGCGGATCCTGGCTCGCTGGCTCTAAGTTCCCCGGACAAGGACTTCCAACGCAGAGCCGCTGTAATACATTGTGTAAGGGCAAACCCGTACTCTCAAGGGCACACGTGTCATATTGATACGTTGGTACAGCGAATGATCCTTTTATGGTAAATGGTAAAGCTAACGGATTTCACACAATGGACCTTCACTGCTTTAATAACAGTAATCACTGTTATCGTCATTATTATTATTATTATTATTATTATTATTATTATTATTATTATTACAGTACAGATAGTAAAAATAATTATGAAGTTACAAAACAATTACAATCACATTGAAAGTCGTTTTGCTCGTTTTCAATCGTCTAGGAACAAGGATTGTACTCAACGGTAATAAAACATTATCTAAGGAAATTACAGTCCCTTGTATATTTTGTCTCAAATCCACAACAAAAGTTAGCAACAAATATTCAGCGTTAAAGTCGTATATTTTTTTAAAACTATTTTTTAAATACACTTTTGTTAAAGTGTTTGTAAAATAAAAATGACACACTTGGAACAAAGTATAAAAAAAAGAGGAAAAAATAGTTTCGATTAACCATTGTGTAACGTCACATCTGTGAGACAGGTTTCAAGTGATGCTAGTATATTCTCGTAGCATCTGTATACGTAAACATCAGCAGTCATGAACTGTTCGTTAAAGTGAAAAGGTGCTCCTTCTCTTGATGTAAAATGTCCGACAACGTAAAGATAATACTACTTTTTACAATTGTGTTGCATATTTTGTATGTAAATTATGAGTGTCGTGCTGCTTCAATAAAAAATGATAACGATCCTCACGTCCGTCATCACCGCAGTAACGGTATTGGTAGCAGTAAAAATAACAACGATAATGAAAGAGATGATGAAAACAATGATGATAGTGATGAAGAAAACTATAATAACATAATATTGATAGGAGGATTTTCTCATTCTTTTGACTTTCCCGATGCTGATTATGAAAAATTCGACCCAAGAACAATGAAGCATATTTATGTACGTTTTCGCAATGATGATAACAGTGACAACAATTATACAGACAATTTTGACGCAAAATCAGTGAACAGCAGGTACACTTGCGAACGTTTATCGATATTTTTATCATTTACATATGGTTTCTCATATAGTAGAAATGAGCGATTTTCGACATACACTTTAAAATGACTCGATTTTTCAGCATCCCCTTCGATAGACTTCCCATGACTAACTTCACCGCAGAGGAAAGAGAATATGTGTCGAAACGTCATCCTACCGATCCTATTCTTAAAAATCCGTATTGCTGGTTTCGTCGTTGCCCTGTCCCGTTACCATCGGTATACGCTTCTCATAAATGTCCCGTTGATGAAACATGGATACACAATGCATGCCGCCCGAAAGACTGATGAACATGGATTTCTTTTATTTGGAAAATTGAACTAATTATCTGTGTATAAACAATCGAGAAATTGTGCCAGAAGAAGTTTTGTTTTTTGTCGTTCATAACAGGTTTATTTTTGTATAAAGTTGCTCAAAGTTTAAAATTTTTGGGATGAAAAATTAAACGCTCAAAACACCTGAAGACAAAAGTTTAAACAATTTTTTGGATTTATTACTTTATAGCTGCAGTGCAAATATATTTCTTAGCGGCCAGAGTAAAAACTATGAACGTCGCGAGCAAGGAATAAATTGTAAAAATAGATGGATAGAAGAGGAAACAACTGCACAAGAGGAAAAAAAAAATTAATCTCGGCGAGTTGTTACTTGATAGTATTGTAGCATGAATGAAACAGGTTTTAAATTACACTAGTGTTCTTTTATAAGATCCATGTTAACGTCAACAGTAATGAACAATTCTTCCAAACGGATGGATGGATTTTTGCTTTTTATTTCAACAAAATGCGTAACAATGTAGTGATTTTATTACTTTTCACGAATATGCCGTGGTTTTTAAACGTAATTCAAGAGTATCATGCTGCTGCGATCGTTGATGGTGACAGTGATTGTGTCGATCCTAGCGTGAATCATAGTCATCGTGCTATTTATGAAAAATTTAATCAAGAATCAATGAAAAACATCTATGTCCATTTTCCCAATGATGATACGCATGATGAAAAAAAATTCGACGCGAAGTCGGTTAACAACAGGTATGGAAGCTATCATAAAAAATGTTCAGCATGTTATAATTGAATTAAAGCTAGTTAAAAGTAACACGAGATTTAATATATATATATCCATGATAAAATAATACCCAATAATTCAGCATTAGCCAATCAAAAAGTGAGTGTCTATGGAATTTTTCCATCTCAAGCTGTTCCGTTTTTCAGTATCCCATCGGGAAGATTTCCTTCTAGTTTGACTCCCAACGATCTTCAATTCGTATCATTTATCCGTCATACGTCGAAATTTCTCACCAAGCCATCAGTATACGCTGCTCGCAAATGCCAAGCCAATGAAATATGGATACACGATGGTTGTCGGCCAAAAGATTAAAGACTATTTATTATAACCATTGCATTTGTACAAATTAATTGTTATGTGTCGTGTGAGAAACTGATTTGCGTTGTAATTTGTTTTTAATAGATGACCATCACTTGAGATGGTCGTATTTACTTGGAGTTTTATAATAAATCATAAACAATGAAGCCCTAGGCCACGTGTCTTGAAGTTTTACTCAACAAAAGCGACATTTACTACAAAACGGAGGTTTAAAGTATATTGGAATACACATGATTTTGCAGCTTTTTACTAATGGATGTAAGATCTAAGTAGTTCTTGTTCAAGGTGTAGTCAAATTCTACGGGCGTAGTAAAACTTGACTCAATCGTAACACTATTGACAGAAAAACACCGGGGATAATTAGTATACTTGAACAACAGACCGCTGATTATGAGATATCACAGCATCGTCTTGAGTTGCGCAAGTTACGCTTCAAAACAGCTCCTGGGCCCATATGTACCAACAGGGAGGTACTTGTTTGCCAGCGGGTGGGCGAACTTGTTAACAAGATCGGCTTTGGTGACTACGAGGACCGAGCGAGCGTGACAACGTGCGCAACTTTTGGCAAAACCAATATCAGCTGAAACATTAAAGGACACGTGCCACGTACGCGATCTGGTGAAGCTGATTATCAGATACTTGATGACTCTTGCCCAAGTAATTGTAGGATATTTATGACTTTTTTTTTTTTTTTTTTTTTTTTTTCAACAATCGATGAACTACTAATGTAAATTATTAAATTACAAACTAAAGTAAACAGCTTTATTTAATTTTCATTATTTGCAATGTACGTATATTTTTGATCCACCAAAAAAGAGGATTAAACAAGCCATCCTTCACACCCAAAGTCAATACTTTCTTGTGACTGGATGTATGCCAAGTTGACTATATAACCGAGTCAGACAAGACTAAGCAGTAAAAGTACTTATACCGAGGTGAGTACTACAATTTTCACGTAAAATCTACACAATAGTCACTAGGACATTAACAACTCGTCGACCCGCAACGTACAACAACCCTTATTGGATTATTTTATTGAGTTGTTTGTTTATTGGATGATCTTGGAGACCAGGTTGGATTACACTTTGGCAGCCATATTGAGTCGTTATACGTTAATTGGGCCACTTGTCTATCTCTCGCGTCTTTGATCTCCACCACAACCGGAGGTTGGTCCAAATGGCTGCAAAACTTTGGAATTATCGATGAAACCGACGAAAACGGCAATGATTACCCCATGGTACGAGATGAATTGTAAAATACGACTGAATTCCAAAGTTAGCCCCGTGTATATAGCACTTGTTTCAGTACAGGTGGGACTTTGTCCCCGTAAACAGCTGAGCGTAACTTATTCGATTTTCTCCCCGCCCCCTCGTTTTCCCCCCGTGGCGCTCACGGTTGCGAGAACTTGCGGCTTCCACGCCTAATTTCTCTCGGATACGCCAGTTTGAGCGACAATCTTGAGCACCCGACCATGGCGAGAGAGAGAAAGAGAAACGCCGTGTTCCACTGGCTAGCTGTACACGGTGAGTGATGAAATTGCGTATTCACCCCGTGATCTCTGCATCCCTTCCCATATCTCCGGAGCGAACGACTTAATTGAATGCCATTGCTTGGCCCCCACTCCATTCACGGAGTAGGCGCTCATATAATCGGATAGGGGAGGAGAATGCCAAAAGTTGAAATGGAAAGATTGCGCATCGAGCGGGTCCTCTTTTTTCCCTTTTCTCATTTGCGTTTGCTAGACGCGTACGGTGTTTCAATGGGAGCCCCACGAGTTTGACGCCTGAGTTTGCAATCGGCTCGTCGCAGGCTTTGCGTGTTGAATCGTATAACTGAATTTTTAATGTCTTTACTGGCTTTTTCGTCAAAGTGACATTTTGTTTGCAAGGTCTAATGGGTACGGCGTACGTGGAGCAAACATTTTTTCACAATTCATGTTTGGCAGTATGATAAGTTAATGCATAATCCCCACAATGGGACTGATTTTTTTTTTTTTTTTTTTTTCTTGCAC